GAGAGAGGATGAAAGAGAAAGGTAAAAAGACCATGAGTACTCATAATTGTTCTTTTCCTATTGATTAATAAGGGCGTAATCGTTGCTGTAAAGGACACTAAGCTCTCATGGAATTGAAATGTCCGAAAAAAACAAAATCCATTTTTATCATTATTATTCACCTCTGTACTCACTTATCAAAAGTACTTTTGCATGGGTCAGGAAAAGTGGAGGCGAAATGTTGTCCAACCAATCTCTCGTATTTTACAGATTTTTTGTACGAATCAGAGTCCAGAATAGATGTCCTTAAAGTGACCTCTCCGTCCTTGATTGACCATCGATGAATCACAGAGAAGCCCTCAAACAGGTGGTTGAACCTTGACTCTCCGATTTGATAGAGACCACTTCCGTTCCTGTATAGTGAACCCGACAGCCATTTTGGAAATGATCCTGTCGACACATGTGCACAGACGAAACGTATCACCAATAATTGTAACAATGTGCACTGTATTAACGGTAATACGACAAGAAAGTGAGGATGAGGTGAGGATAGTATAAAGGTAACATGGTCGTAATTAGAGGCCAATATGTGGATGATATGAGGGAATGCCATACTATTGGGGCAATGTGAGATGAATATGAGTTCAAGAGGAGGGATCTGAAAAGGTATCCTAAGGTGAAACAATATGAGAGCAATACGAAGGTAATGAGAGTAATATGAGCGTTATATGAAGGTGGTAACACAAAGAAAGACAATATGAGGGTAGTATGAGAGCAATACGAGCGACTAGAAATATTCAAAAGAAAGAGGAATTGAGCTTTTTTTTTAAAAAATCTCTCAAAGCAGTAACATATTAAGCTCAATATGCTCATTTTTGTCAAATGAACGTATTGTGCTGCAAATTGCTGAAGACATCAGTTCGATTCCCGAGCAGGGAAGTTTTTGTGTGTGTGTGTGTGTGTGTGTGTGTGTGTGTGTGTGTGTGTGTGTGTGTGTGTGTGTGTGTGTGTGTGTGTGTGTGTGTGTGTGTTGTTTTATTTTCTTTTGTTTTGTTTTTTTGTTTTGTTTATTGGTATTTTTGTTTTTGTTTGGTTTTTCTTTAAAGCGAGTATCTCTGTCTGCTGATGAGGGGCCGTATCCCACTCACTTAGCCCGGCTTGGCCTTGATCGTAAGGGCTGAATTAGCCAGCTTCCTGAATGAGCTAAATTGTGTGGATAGGGGCGTGCAACACTTACAGTTACAAGTCCAGTATTAGATCTACGACATACTCTCTATTCAACACACAACCTCCGGGTTCAAAACCTCTCAGCTCATCATTCTCTACTTTATAACAAAGTTTTACCTTAGTGTCCGTACCTATGGGACACCCTGTATTTAACATAGGGCTCTCAATCTAAAAACATGCTGTAATACTTATTTGCTGGCTTTTTGTGTCTAAAGTCCGTTCTTGATATCAAGTCCCATGGCTGGTACTAAAATACTGACCTGATACTTCGGCCTTGACTGGCTCTTTCATGTCTGCAGAGCGATCCAAATCAAAATACTGAGGCCATTTGTCCACTTGCGGAGAACTATTTTGGTTTCCCATTTTGTCTAAGAAAAGAAAAATGTATATAAGATTAAAGAATAAAACATCACAATATTCAGAATTCAACCTTTCTAAATGAACACTAAGTCACTGCAATTATTAAAAGGTGTATCATAAATTTTTCATTGAAGCATATAAAAGGAGTCCGCGTAAACTAAACACTGTTAATCGGAAAAATCAATGATGTCAAATCCCTTATTTGTTTCTTGTCTCCTAGAAAACTGCCGATAAGCCGAACCGCTCAGATTTCTAAACCGAAAAGAATCTCAAGGGTTATGTCGACTAAACCTTCACTAACAATCTTCAGGTAAGGAAACCCATGAAGTCTTACACGCTTCAAGATAGCAAAAGAGGAGACAGAGATGCGAGTACGCGTGTGTGTCGATTTCGGGCTAGAGGGAAGGATCGCCAGAGAACTGTCGGCCTGCGTTTATCACACACATCAATAAGTCTACCCACTGTATTGTGGACTAGTGACGCAAGGACAGCAAATGTGCGTCTATCGCTCGACCTTCGGTTGGTCATGGCTTATTGTCTCAGCGAATTAAGTTCCCATATACCCTGCTTATGAGCACGTAACGGTACGCTGTGAGTTTCATGACATCACTGGCATTGGGCTTTTTTACTGTTCTAGTTCACTTGAGTCTGAGCCATTTTTCACCCAACAACCATTGGAGCTTGACAGTTTGGGGGTAGATTATATTGAATAGTTAACCAAAAAAAGACTGAGAGCTACCAGAAGATAAAATTACAACAAAAGAAAGAAAGAAATGCTCAGACAGAAAAAGAAAACTGCATCTAATTTGTTCCAATAGTTTTTATTGTATCATTTTTTTTAAAAATAGCTATAACTTGGGCAAGGGTGAAGGCTGACATGTTTGAAAGGGTAATCAAAGTGAGACAAAGAACCAGATAGCCTGTCAAGGCCAGGAGTCAATATAAAAAATTGCCATGACCTGATAAAAGGGCGGTTAAAAAGTCAAGGAAAAAAAACAAGCACATAGAGCAGCCATGTAAGAGTACATAATGGCATTGTGACTTTCTGATTACTACGCAGTCAACAATCGTTTCTATTTAAACAGCCCTCTCAAAACCGAAAACACCGTTAAACCGAGGAAAACCCGGAGATCCCGCACATTTTGATTTACGCGGACTCCACTGCATGCATGTATGTGTGTGCGTTTATGTGTGTGTGTGTGTGTGTGTGTGTGTATGTGTGTGTGTGTGTGTGTGTGCGTGTGTGTGTGTGTGT